TGCTGCTGCTGCTGCTGTTACCTGTTGCTTCTGTTCTACTTCTTCGAAGAAATCACCACGCGCTGTGGGGCCCTCATTCAGCCAAAACTGAGGGGCCCCTGCTGCCTAGCAAACACAAACCCCAAACCCTAAACCCTAAACCCTAAACCCTAAACCCTATCATTGCAGCAGCAACTTACATGCCCGTGATGCTCAGAAGCTGCAGAGTTTAGGGTCTAGAGAAGGGCTTAAACCCTTTGCTGCTGTATTTCTAGGGTTTAGGGTTTAGGGTTTAGGGTTTTGTTGGGGTTTACTGTCACGCTTGTAACTAGGGTTTAGGGTTTAGGGTTTAGGGTTTAGGGTTTAGTGGACCTTGATATCGGCGCGAAGGGCTTCGAGCTGCTGCTGCTGCTGCTTAACAAACTGTCTCCTTCTCTCTACTTCGTCTGCATGCAGCCCCAAACGCTGCTGATGTTTTGCTGCAACAGCAACGGCTCTCTCCAGAGCCCGCAGGTCCTCGGCCAGAGCCTCAGCAGCATTGTCTATGGTGCTCTTCAGGCTGCACACAGCAGCAGCAGCAGCAGCAGCAGCAGCAGCAGCAGCAGCAGCAGCAGCAGTAGCAGCAGCAGCAGCAGNAGCAGCAGCAGCAGCAGCAGCAGCAGCAGCAGCAGCAGCAGCAGCAGTAGCAGCAGCAGCAGCAGCAGCACCAGCAGCAGCGGCAGCAGCAGCAGCAGCAGCGGAAGCAGCGAACGACAATTAGGAATGCACGAAGCAGAAGCAGCAGCAGGAGCAGCAGTAGATACAGCAGCAGCAGCAGCAGCAGCAGCAGCAGTGTATAGGTAGAGACATGTGAAGGGGCCACATTGCCTCCATGTCTTTAAACACATCAGCAGCAGCAGAAGCAGCAGCAGCAGCAGCAGAAGCAGCAGCAGCAGCAGCAGCAACAGGTGCATCGATCAAACAACTGAGGTGTACATACACCCCACGTGTTTCAGGTGCATGTACACCGCAGCTTGTTGAGGTGTATGTACACCCGGCTTGCCTGCTGCACTTGCTGGGGTGGCCTCGGGTTTGTAGCTGCTGCTTCCACTCGTGCTGCAGCCGCTGCAGCTCTGCAAAATTCGCCTGCACCTCGCTGCAGCACAGCAGCAGCAGCAGCAGCAACAGCAGCAGCAGCAGCAGCAACAGCAGCAGCAGCAGCAGCAGCAGCAACAGCAACAGCAGCAGCAGCAACAGCAGCAGCAGCAGCAGCACCAGCAGCAACAGCAGAGGAGATGCATGCCACGTGTACATACAGCCACCGACCTTCTTCTATTCTCTTCTTACAGCTGCAACCTGAAGCTGCAGCAGCAGCAACGCTTGCTGCAGCAGCAGCAGCAACGCTTGCTGCAGCAGCAACAGCAACGCTTGCTGCAGCAGCAGCAGCAACCTGAAGCTGCAGCAGCAACAGCAACGCTTGCTGCAGCAGCAGCAGCAACACTTGCTGCAGCAGCAGCAGCAACACTTGCTGCAGCAGCAGCAGCAACGCTTGCTGCAGCAGCAGCAGCAACACTTGCTGCAGCAGCAGCAGCAACACTTACTCGCGAGCTGCATAGAAAGGGTCCCCCAGGTTGTTCTCTGTNCTTGCTGCAGCAGCAGCAGCAACACTTACTCGCGAGCTGCATAGAAAGGGTCCCCCAGGTTGTTCTCTGTCATCTTGGCGGCAGCAGCAGCAGCAGCAGCAGCAGCAACGATCCCCTTCTGCTGCTACTTTTCTGCTGCTGCTGCTGCTGCAGCTGATGTTTCCAGGCTGGAAGACCTATCTGATGCGGCCCTTGCTGCTGCTGTTGCTGCTGCTGTTGCTGCTGCCGTTGCTGCTCCTGGTGAGCTGTTGTTGCTGCTGTCGCTGCTGCTGCAGCTGCTCTGCTGCCTCAGTTGCTGCTAATGCTGTTGTTGTTGCTGCTGCTGCTGCTGCTATGCTTCTTCCTGCTGCAGCAAATCTCTTAAGCAGCTGCCTGTCTCCGTGTGGCAAGGAGCAGCAACAGCAGCAGCAGCAGCAGCAGCAGCTGCTGCTGCTGCTGCTGCTGCTACTGCAGTGTTGCTGCTGTGTATGGGCCTTATGGCCTTACCCTATACACCCGAAATATTTATTCATTTACAAACAGCTGAGCTTTGGTTTTGTATGTAGACGCCTGTCTCCTGCTGCTGCTGCTGCTGCTGCTGCTGCTGCTGCTGCAGCTGCAGTTGCTGCTGCTGCAGTTGCTGCTGTTGCTGCTGCTCCTGCTGGGTGTGAGAGGCTATCGAGGCGTAATTGAGTTGAAAATATATTTAATTTTTTATTTTATTTTTTTGTTTTAACATTAAAAAAACAAAAAAAAAGAAACAACAACAAAACGCATGCAGCCCCAAACCGCTGCCGACGACGAGCAGACCGCCTCACTATATATTTCTGTATTTTTTATTTTTTTTATATATAAATTATTTTATTATGTTTCTTTGTTTTTTATTTATATATAAATTAATTAATTATATTTCTTTATTTTTTATTTATATATAAAGTAATTTATTATATTTCTTTATTTCTTTATATTTATACATAAATTAATTACTTATATTTGTGTTTTTCTTTATAATAAATAAATAAATAAATTATATTTGTTTTTCTTTATATAAATAAATTAATTATATTTCTGTATTTCCTTAATGCATATAAACGCATCAATCATATATTTGTTTTTCTTTATATTTATATATAAATTAATTAATTATATTTTTGTTTCTTTTTATTATAAAATAATTATTTAATTATGTTTGTCTATCTTTAGTTAAGTCTACTTTATTAGTATATATATATATATATATATATA